GGTCACACAGTTGAAAAGCTAAATAACTGGAGCCCAGGCCACGCAATTCTAAACTCCACGTTCTTAATCATTACATTTGACTAATTCCCGTAAAATTATAAACCGAGTCTCACAGTTTAGTTCGTAACTAAGCCAAACAAGGAAAATGACTTTTTTGCACATGACAGGATGAAATGACCTATTAATCACCTGTTACCCATTTTCCATAATTAGATGCAAACTTGACATAAATTTGTGTGAGCTGAACTTTTGGGATAGATTTGCATTCATTACAATACATTTTCTGTTCGGAATCTTATCAACTGTTAAGAAGCACCGAGGTCTGACCTCTATGTCTAAAACATATTTTCTATGCACGGATAATTAATATTCAACAAGGAAGGAAAAAACCCAACATCCTTATTGATTATGAATATGACCTCATCTGAGTATGAGTCAGGACGATTTTGGTTGCAAGCAACAGAAAATCCAACTGACTTAGTACGAGAAACATGAGAGAAGTTACTGGTTCTGAGACTGGAAAATTTCAGACAAAAACAACCTTCAAGGTTAGCTTGATCCAGCACATCACAGTAAGCTCTGTCTCTGTTTATTTTGGATTCTCTCAGCTCTGTTCTCGGTCATGTGTATTCCTGGTTCTCAGATTGACTTCCTTCATGAGAGGAGGCTCTCGGGCTCCTGCCTTCTCCATCCACATCCCAGGAGAAGGAAGGCCTCTCTATACAGACCTGCAGACAAAATGTATTCTGCATTCTCCAGTCAAAGGACTCAACTTTGGACTCAAGCCCATTCCGGAATAATTCCTGTAGCAAAAGGAGTGGAAGTATCCAGTCAGGACCTGCCTGCGGAATTTCTCAGTAAATTGTAGCTTTCAATTTTTATCTTAAGAAGATGAGAAGTGCCTACCTGGGTGAAGTCTCAGCAATGAAGATGACCAACAGTGAAAACTTAGTCCCCCTCACTCACAAATCAACAAATGCATAAATGCACAGGAAAATATTGAGGTTCCGTTTTACTTAGCATCAATGAGGGTGTGAGAGCCAGAGGCCCCAAATCGCATCGTGGTGATCTTCTTTGGAAAGAAATTTAACAATTTCTACAAATTTTGGAAGGTGTGTATACTCTTGGATCTAGTGATTCTATTTTCGTTAGGAATTATCCCCACGATTTTAATCGTAGGATATGTGAATGGGGCAGGTTGCGTGGATACACGATGTCAGTATTATTTATAAAAGTGCAAAACAGAATATAGAACTGCCCATCCAGAGAGACCAATCAGTCTTCTGGCTTCTCACTGGAAATAAAAATAAGAATGCAGGAAACCACACCAAAGTAAGATGTGGCTTAGTGAATGACTACCCAGCAGATATTTTAACAACTACCACTCAGGCCGAGAAATAAAATTTTGTCAGACACCCCAGAAGTCACAAAATGAGACTGTTTACAAATTAAGATCTCTACCCCAAGGGTGGATACTTCTGAAATTCACAAGTCTCTATTTTTATAGCCAGCTGAATTCTTACAGTCAGTCCAGTGCCCAGATTCTATGATATTGTAAGATTTGTCATATCAATTATCGCATGATAAACTGTCCCATGAATTCCCAGTGACTTGTAACAAAATCCAAAATTCTCACTGTGGACATCAAGACCCCACTGGGTCAAGCCTGTCCTCCTACTTTCCAGTACACTCCAGCCATCATACAAATTGCCTTTGTTTCTCCAGCCCATGAAGTCCAGGCCCACCCCAGGGCCTTTGCATTGGTGCTTTCCCTCTACCTAAAATATTCCTCCCAAACTCTTCTCTAGTCTGACTCCTTCCTGTCATGCCCTGATTCCAGCCTGAGACCAGTGTGGGTCCATGATGCCTCTAATACAGCAATGCCCTAACATTTGAACCCTCCTGGCAAGTGTCTTCACAACCCCTGAGACGTTGTGGTCTGACACCCACATCATCCGAGAATCAGAGAAAGCAGAGGCATTTCTGACACCAGGGAGAGTCGTGAACTATTGTCACGCAAAGATAAATAACACAAAACGTGATCCTAAGGGGACCCCTCCGAACTTAACTCATGCAACAGGAGGTCTGACCTCTCTGTGATCTTCAACATGGGGCCAATAGCTGATATCGATGTTCGTTTCTCTGTTCCAGGAAATTTTAATACGAAATGATAAGACTTTCCCATCAGTGGTTACAGGGACCTCTTATCCTCGAGTTTATCTCTTTGCAATCGCCCTGAGAGGATGTCAAAGTCAGTTTGAGGACACAATAGAGCTCTGTAAGTCAGACCGACCATCCCAATCATATCTTCTAAATTCGGTGAAAATTCATTGGTCTGCTTTCACATGAGGCAATAATAAATAGACAAAAATGATAAAACAAAAAAAAAAAATTCTGAGCTCGATAAAGACTAAAAGGTCCCTTTTGAAAGTAGAAACAGCTGCGATGACAGTGTGGTTTTCCAGAATGTAACTGTGTGTATCGTGTTGTGGAGCAGTGCCATATATACCAAGGACCTCTGACTCCTCTGTTCAGTTGTTTCTGTCGGAGAAGGACCAGGACCATTGCCAGTCCACATGGTGCATTTGTACCGATTAGAAAGAGGTACCCATTCCTCCAGATAGCACAGCCTGGAGACTGGACCTCAGAGGAAATCAGCACTTAACCTGTCTCCTCCATATGGCATCCCCGGGGAGAGTGCACCTGCATAACCCCAATAACCGGGTGTCCCAGCATCTTCAGGATATTGGTTATGGTGTTTGGCATCAAGGGTTCATGCTTCATTGTTATCCCTGGTCACTGTTAGCTAAGAAAGGCGAGGTCTTAAAACTATCTTTAAGCATCAAAGCATCTGCCTCGCTCAGATACAGAGTCCACCCTCCAATGTTCTTTCTTATCTCTCAAGTTGTTTGGGAGAAAACCCCAAGCTCACGGCTTCCTCAGTGACTTTGTGAGCAAGTCAGGACTGCTATTAGAAAAACAGCCCAGAGATTGTATTCTGGGTCTTTGGCAATCGCTTGGCTTATCCAATGTAGCCAGCACATTCAACATTTCTGAATATATTGAGAAAATTTAGGCTGTCAATAATCAGCTCCAAGATTCCTGATTCCTGTCCCCTTCCTTGACCTGGCTTATATGCCTTCTGGTCGTCTTTAGAATCCCACGCCTCCCTATTGTCTTCTTGAAGATCTGTTGCCACCTTTGCTTTATGGATTCCTCTGGGTTTGGAACCACGTTTTATTTATTCTTGTTCACATCGTCACAGTAGAGAAATTTTCACACAGTACAGAAACATGTAAACTAAAACGTGAAAGTCCCCCTTCTATCAGCTCCTGTTTCCAATCCCACTCCTCTCACCTGGGGACCACTAATAAGAGTGTCTTGTATCCTTCCAGAACTTTCCATTTGCAAGTATGACGCTAATAAAAATGCTAACTATTATTGAGTGTTTACCAAGAGTCAGATGCTGCGCTAAGCACTCTTCATGCAGGTTCCCAAGTAATTCACAAAACAAGCCTATAAGATAGGTGTTGTCTTCATGCCCCATTTCACAGTAGAAACAGCTGTGATGACAGTTGCTAAGTGGTACAGCCAAAACTGGAACTTAGGTGGGATGAGTCCATGCTTTTAACTTCTGTACCTGTCACTTACTTTTGAAGACTGCAATGTCATAGACCCTTCTCCACAGTTACCCATGTAATTCTATGTGTTCCTTTTCAACTCTGCTCCATATTCTATAAAATTTATTCAGCCATTCTCCTACTTCTGAACTTATAGAGTGTTGCATTTTTTTCATTTTATTATTTTATGAAATCTAAGATTGCTTTGACGGTAAGAGGCACCCAATTTCAGAAGGATTAAAATATTTTAAAATGTGCATTTTAGAATTAAAATATTATGGTCTTGGAGGGAGTGCTGTAAATGAACATGCTTGTATATATAATTTTTCATGTGTGTATTTCCGTAGAAGTTTCCTAGAAGTAATATTGTGCATAAAAATGAAGATGCATTTTTTATTTTGATAGATACTGTTGAATTCCCTCCAGGAGACCATATGTTAGTCATCTGTGTTCCCGCTTGCTTAGCAAAATGTCTGGTACACTGTAGGTATTAAATAAATAAAATGTTCAGCAGATGAAATGCAGAGGATGGCCCAGGAAAAAAAAAAAACAGTATTTTTGTGGAACACACAAAAGCAAAACAGAATAACAAATATATGACAATGACAGCGAGGAAGATTAGATTATTTTAGTATCCTAAGTGTAAGCTTCTTGCTGAAGCATGGGCCACAGTAAATGACAAACGCTAATGCGTTTTGTGCAGAATGTCGTGTCCAAAGTGATTATGAGAGAGCTTGAAAAATAACTTATCAGAAGGTGGTGTGCTCAGTTGAATAAAAATACACTGCTAACTCCAGTGTTTTAAAACCCTCAAGCTAAGGGTTGTAAGACATTTCTAGAGATCTTAGGGTCTCCCTATTTTTCTTTTTCAGATCATGCAATACTACCTGCCTGTCCCCAGGCCACCAACCCTGATCTCCAGAGAGGATGGTTCTGTGGTTTGGAGTAAAGGGCTGCATTGTGAACGAGCACTCCAGATGATGCTAATGCACTCTAAAGCGTGAGAGCATTAAGAAGAGGGCTTGCTTAATTCTATTTGCACTTTAGAAAGATGCCTTTGGCTGTCCAGTGTGCAATCAACTGGAAGTGGACACAAACACCTACAGGAATCGCCACTCCACCCCAAGCATGGGGCGCATACCCTAGGGCCGGCGCATGCTAGCGCCTCCTGCTGGCCCTCCCCAACCTCGTCTTGGGCGCGGCCCTGAGCGACAGACTGCGACTGCGCACTCTGAAGCCTGCTGAGGCTTTCCCCGGAGCTCCTGCGACCGCGCCAACCCAGACCGGAAGCGGAAGTGAGGTCGAGTGAGCCCATCGCGCCCCCCATCCTCTCGCTATGGGTTGGGCCTCCTCTAAGAGTCGCCGGAAGCGGAAGTTGTTGAAGGGTGGGAGTTGTTAGGAAAGTGTGTGGTTAGCTTCCCGCTTCTTGGGTTCCAGGCGGGGCTCCCGGAGCCAGTGAAGCGAGACTAGCTGACCGCTCCGGGTCCCGAGCCGTCGCTTGAGGGGCGTGGTATCCCGGTGCTCCGACCCTTCCCCGGGACCCTGGGGAGCCCCTGTGGCGGGAGTGCCGTGTCCCCGCTGCCTTCCCCGGAGTGAGGCTCCGCCCGGCATCCCCGGGTCCCCGCAGATCCCGCCATGGGCAACACCAGCAGCGAGCGCGCCGCGCTGGAGCGGCAGGGTGGGCATAAGACACCCCGGAGGGACAGCTCCGGGGGCACCAAGGATGGGGACAGACCCAAGATCCTGATGGACAGCCCCGAGGATGCCGACCTCTTCCACTCGGAGGAAATCAAGGTGCGGAGCGCCGGGGGAGGTTCCCGCCACGGCCGCGCCGAAGCTCGCCGAGAGGTTGGGAAGGGAGGTTGGAACTTCGCGCGGTGCCCTTAGAGGCCAGAGGCCGGGTCCTAGCAGTCCGGGAACCTGTGTCTAATTACCGATCCGAGAAAGTCAGCCTGCGGGGAGAGGAACTCGCTGCGCTTAACATCATTAAGGAGAAAGCAGCTCTGGGACCGAGTTTCAGGTTCTTAATTAATTCCGAGAGTCAAGCCAGCAGTAATTGAGCACCAGTCCCTGCTTTTCTCTTAGGTATAATTAATTTCACAGCTTGGAGAAATCTTCTCTCACCACGAAGCCGACTGGCGCTTTTATAAAAGTTAGTTTGGGAGTTTATTGTCCATTTCGAAAGTAAACCCGAGCGCACGTGTGAGCTGAAAGGTAGAGTTGACTAGTAGAGCTGGCACTTGTTGCCAGAAGTGTTTAGTTCAGACGCTTTTGATTGACCCTGCCTTTGTTGTTTTTTTTTTAAGAGAAGGAATAGAAAAGTAATTCCACTCCCAGGGGTCAGTGGGTGAGTGAAGTGTCAATCTGAAGGAGGCAGCCAGCAGCTACTTAGGCTTCTCCCCCCACCCCCTTATTTAAATATGACTTGTACTTTAAGCAGACCAAAGCAAACATTGTCGCAAGTGGAACTTGAACTTCCTGCTGCAGTCTGCTTTAATCCCCTAAAACTTAACATGACTCTTGACACCTGTTTCAACCACTTTCTGATGGTGTCCATCTGTTTCCAGCTGCTGGGCCCAGTCCAAGGACTCATTTTAATGATTCTGGCAGCTGATATTTAATCTGAAAAGAACCAATTCCTTAAAGGAATAAAGTAGGTTTAGGAAGAATGAGGGTGCCCCCTGCCCAGAATAATCTTTTACTATCCATGTGTATGTTAGTCAGCATTGTCCATGAAGTTAGTTGCCTGGCAACTCATTCTGCCTTTATTCACATTTCTTTTTCTCAGATACTGGATTGGGTAATCACATTATTATCTCACAATCTTAGTAGAGCTTGCTTTTACATAGCCCTACATCCTGTGATTTGACCTTGTTTTCTGAACTTGTTGCATTCCTGAAAAGGTGTGTGCAGTGAACTTTGGAATCATGTTTCTCCAGTGACTTGATATGCCTTCCTCTTGTAGTAATTTTGGCCCCAGAAGGCTGGTTAAGACACCATAAGAACAAAACTGCTTTCTTGAAGAAGCACATGTTGTTGCCATCACAAAACTCCCACAAGAAATGCTTAGCATACAGATGATCTGTGGGGAATGAATTAGAAGCATCCATTCTCTTTTCATCAGAAATTACTGAAATGATGCCCCAGATACCAAAAAAAAAAAAAAAAAGTTGCGGATTCTTTTAACTACCCCAGTTCACTATTTTGGCTGCAGTCAGTTACTAGATTCCCCTAAAGATCCAGTCTCTTATTCTTTAATCTGTAAAATCTTGTTCAAATTCAAAGATTTCAGACATCTTTTAGTTAAGCTCAAATCAGTATTTGAAATAAAAGTACTAGAAGCCTGCTGGACTCCCTTCAAGGTCTCTCCCAACATGGAACTCCTGCTCTTTTAAAGTCTGTCTTCTTGCTAGGAAAAATGTAAAAGGTCCATAACCAGATAGATTTCGCCCAGACAGGGTGGCTGTCTGTCATTTTGGAATGCTTCTGTTATTCAGTACATACCATATTGGATGTTATTGTGAGGAGTTTGTTTTGTTTATCTGTTTCTCCTCAGGGATTAAATAGCAGTGAATGGTGTTTCCTTCCTTGCAATCTGGATGTGCCAGTTTTCAAGTTGACAGTTCTTGAATTTTCCCTAATAAATTTTCACATAATTCAAATCTTGCTTAATAAGAGGGGAAGGTGATATTTATTAAGCTAGCGTAGTCTCATATTCATTGCAGTCTTCTTCTAAGAAGGAAGTTTATTTAGTTTACTCAAGAATCTTTTAGTACACCTCTTTAATAAACAGTAATAATAATAGCTAATTATTTGTAAGCATTCACAATGTGTCAGACACTATGCAGAGCATTTTACATGGACTGTCTCAATCTCCACAACCTTTAGAAATGGTTATTTTATTATCTTCATTTTGGAGGTAAGGAAACAGGTACAACTAGCCAGGGACTGAACCGAGGTGGCAACAGCTGCCTCTTTAGAGTGAATTGACAATATTAGCTTAACTGTCTATTGTAGGGAGCTCACCAGTGGCTTCCTGTCCCTGAGTAACTGCTCTGCTTCTAGGCTCCAGAGAAGGAAGAGTTTCTGGCCTGGCAGCATGATCTGGAAGTGAATGATAAAGCTCCTGCCCAGGCTCGGCCAACGGTGTTTCGATGGACAGGGGGAGGAAAGGAAGTTTACTTATCTGGGTCCTTCAACAATTGGAGTAAACTTCCCCTCACAAGAAGGTAAATTGCCTGGGAAGTGTTTGCATACTTGTCTTAACCCATGGATACTATTGTTTCTAAAGATTTCTGTGGGTGAATAGAAAAAAGGATGTCTTTATACAATGGATTCTGAATGACCAGAGTTTGCTTAATAAAACCGAGGGTCAAATTTTAAACCTAGGAAATCCGGGTTTAAAGCGCACCGTCTCCTCCCCCACCCTGACAAGAAGAAAAGCTGTCTTGGTGGCTCGTATTGCTCTGCCGTGGACATCTCTCAGTTCAGAATCCCAAACAGGAGTGTGCTCCCCGTGCTGGAGCGAGTGCTGGGCCAGAAGGGAATAGGCTCGGGTTGGAGCCCACTGTGGCTGCGCACATAGCCTTGCATGCCTGCACCTCGGTGTTCCAATCTGTATCAGAAATCCTGCATGGACTTCTCAAATCGTCCCTAGTGAGGACTCTTGAAACACTGGGACAGTGGTGTCCTGTGGGCCGGGCCTGGTGGTTGTCGGAGGCTGCCTGTGTTTCCCACCACAACTTCCAAGGAGGGAACCACTCAGCACCGTAGTCACAAGCCAGTTCAAGTCCGGGGAACAAAAGAACCAAAGTAAAGATGTTCCTTGGATTTTTTTTTTATTTTATGTTTTTTTAGTTGTTGATGGACCTATATGGGGAGCTGAGAATCGAAGGCAAGCGCTCTCCCACTGAGCCATGACCCCAACCCCCCTGAATCTTTTTTTTAGTACAAGTTTCTTGAGACAACCTTTGTGCCTACTGCTAAATTGATCCCTCCTCCCAGCCAAGGCAGACTGACAAAGGGTCAACCTAGATGACTCGTGTCAATGTCTTCCTTGGCATCTGGGGTTGCCAGGTGGTGTTTTGCACACAAACTTGAGAAGCGCAGTGCCTCCCCTTTAATGTCAGGATTGTGGGTTCCTAGTAGTCAAACAAAGTGATTTTCAGGAAAGTCTCCTGCCCTGCTCCTTATATAGCTTTTCTAAATTGAGATCATTTCACTGAATTGTCTAAATTGGATAAAAATGGTTGCTCTCCGGCAGCTGGACTCTTGGTTTTACAGGGAAACAATTTTGTTTTTTGTTTGGTGGCTGTTTGAGCTCAGAGGGTAGCAGCAGCCCACTCAGCTGAAGTGCTCTGCTTCCTTTCTCTTTGCAGCCACAATAACTTTGTAGCCATCCTGGATCTGCCCGAAGGAGAGCATCAGTACAAGTTCTTTGTGGATGGTCAGTGGACACACGACCCTTCTGAGGTATTTTTCCTCCTGACCCTGGTCCTCTGGGTGACTGCACAATCCACAAAAGTCACCTTCCCTTGTGGCTTGTTGCCAGATCCTTTGGTTCTGCTGGTAAAAGTCTCTGTGTGTGGCTGAGTGAGATAGCACCAATTGTCAGAGCATTGATATTCTTGACCAAGATGAGCAGACTGGCTGGCCAGGAGCTGAGACCTTCCAGCCAGGAATCCCAAGTCCTCTAAATAATAACTCCAGACCTTCTACGTTATGATTTCTGCCTGTCTGTCTCTTCCCAGCCAATAGTAACCAGCCAGCTTGGCACAGTTAACAACATCATTCAAGTGAAGAAAACTGACTTTGAAGTATTTGATGCTTTAATGGTGGATTCCCAAAAGTGCTCCGATGTGTCTGGTATGAACACAGTTATTTTATACCACATGTGTGCAGGCGGGGGCTATGCAGCCTAGAAATATTCTACTTTATCTTGCCTCTCACTCTCGAGCTACAGTTGCCTAATCAGGTGGACGAGTAGCGCTCCCTGAAGGGGCTGCACATAGTGCTTACCTCTGTCAGGCCGAGTTGTTGATGTTTAGCCCCATGGGAACTCTGTCATTGTCCCTGTCTTCACTGGGTCCACATGGCCATAGCAAACAGATGGTGGAAACGGCACCAGAGCTTGATGTCATACGAGGGGCAGGGCCAGAGAGGCCCTGGAGGGACACCGTGGTCAGTGGTGAGCTGTGGGTCAGGGTGAGCCGGGACTGGGGAGGCCTGCCAGTTCACTTCCCACTCGTGGTGCCTGGAGAATTTCAGGCTGACAGGTGATAAACGGACACCTCAGTGACCTTGGCCATGACTTGTGTGATACATTAGCACCTTGTCAGACTCCCCGATAAGGTGAGAAAACGGCTCTGTACAGGAAACAGGCTACATGGCACAACTGTCCTTTCTGGGGACCTTCTCATTACAGTTCCAGTAAAACTCTTCTGTCTTCCAGTTACAGAGGTTTCAATAAATTGCTTTCCATCCAAACCCGGCAGGAAGACACTACCTGGAACGTACTACATACAATTCAGGGAAAACGATGTGTTACAATCTCGAGTGTCAGTGCCAATTGCACTTCCCTATCCTGCTGTCCGGGGCTTAAGCAATTTTTGAGCCCTGTGGGCAGCAGTGAAGAGATTCTCCAGGAGCGACTGACAGTCTAAGGAAAGGGCAGCTGTTCAGTGTGCAGAACGTTTTTCATCACTCCCTGACTGGACTTGCCATCAGGATCTCCGCGTTCTTGGTTCAGAGATCACAGTGATAAATTGATCGTGGTGGGCTTGCTGTGGTTGAGCAGAACTTAGAAATCCCAAAGTAGTGCTCTTTTATTTGTAAACCTGAACTGATCTTTTAGCAACACTGTGTGTTCCTTCTTCAGATGGGTAACGTTGGAGCATGGAGGAAGTACCCAGGTATCCAGCCCGTTGATACATGTAATGTTAGGTTGTCTACCTAAGCTTTTAGTCAAGGTTGTGCAGTCTAGATGAGCTGGGGAAGAAAACTGACCCCTCTCTGTTGATAAAATAACTTCAGCACTCTAGACATCTCATCTTTAGACACTTTCTTAAAATAGGTATTTATTCCTTCTGCCTCAGTTTTCTGCACTTAATGCTCTTTTCAATTTCCTGCTGTGATATGGTTGGATCATGTGAAGGGAGCCCGTCCCTAAGAAAGGACGTTGAGGGAATTGGCAGAACCAGGCCATATCATTATTTATTCTGGACTAGCCATGGATCAGGTGACCAGAGCCCATCCCCCCCATTCGCTGGCTAACAGCTCAATACCCTCAGCTGGACAAACATCGCTAAACAAGCTGCTTCTGACATGACACAGTGCACTTCCAGAAGTTTCTTAATCTGTCTGAATCATGATACTCGGGCAAGAATTTGGGAAAACCCTAGTGTGATAGAGTCTAAGGGCCTTTAGAACAGGTTTGTTGTTTTTTGGGTTTTGTTTTTTCAGTTTTCAGACGTGCTGGTGCCTTGCATAACCTGTTTCATTCTGGCTGGGCTGGTGATGTTCGTGAGCTTAGCCACTTAATCCTCACTTGAAGCCCTGAGCTGCTTTGTGGCATTTGCTAGCCCAGCCTGAGGTGAGAAGGAAGCCTTATTCTGCTGATTTGTGAGGTTCAGTGATTGAGAACGGCTCCTTGTTGCTTCTGACCCAGGCTCTGTCTTTGCCACAACCTCTCTCTTCTGCCAGGGCGTCTGAGTTCACTGCTGATTTCCTTTCCAATCACCCAGATTCCAAAAGGATTTTCTCATCTCCTGTGCTCTCCACCTTTGGAGGCTGTGTGTCTTTAAGAGAATATAAATTTGTACCAGGGGAACCAAAGACAAGGAAAGCTAGATGACAACTCCATAAATAAAATGAGACCGCTGCTAGAAATTCTGATTTTCCAATGTCCTGTCACCATCTCCCAACAGAACTGTCCAGTTCCCCGCCAGGACCCTACCATCAGGAGCCCTATGTCTCCAAACCAGAAGAACGTTTCAAAGCGCCACCTATCCTCCCTCCACATCTGCTTCAGGTCATCCTGAACAAGGACACGGGGATTTCTGTGAGTACCTGGGCATCTGCCCAGACCATTCTTCATGGTCATGTTCCTCTTCTCCCCCAATCCACTCCTCAAGGACAAGCACCTGCAAGCCGGCTCAGTGTCACCCACTGATGTGAACTGCCACGTTCCTCCTTGGACATGGGGATGGGCTACTTGCAAGAGGTTCCACAGTGTGGATGTCGCATCCCTGTCTCACAAAGTCTTTCTGAACTTTTCTTGACTTTTACTTCTGCCTTAGCTTAGGCCCCATTCCATTTAAATTTTAGGGGAAAATACTTAACCACCTCTTCTTAGCAATGTATACATTGGCACTCTCCCAAATTTTAGAATCTAGTTCTAATCATTAAATTGCTTTTAGAAACATGAGTGCTCCTTGATTAAAAAAATTGAGGTAGCTGGCCAACACATTTCGTCTGGGAAATTGGTATTCTATGCAAAAGAGAGATCTGTGTCCAGGATCCAGAAGATCAGTCAGTTATTCCCTGATGGCTCATTTTCCATTCTGTTTAACCTTGACTGTTTGATCCACCTAGCCCTGGAATTATGGCTTGGTCCAAGCCACTGTTCAAGAGGCACATGTTTGTAAGGTGCTGTCTTAAGTCTTTTATCTGCTGCTACAACAGAATATCTGAGTCATTTATAAAGAACAGATTTGGTTTACGAGTCTGTAGGCTGGGCATTCCTGAGCGTGGCGCCAGCATCTGGCAAAGACCTCCATGTGCATCATTCCATCCTGGGGCTAAAGGTAGAAATGCAAGAGGGCGCTGAACTTGCTTTTATAACAGTCCAATCTTGAGATAAGGAATCCACTCCCATGATAATGACGTTAATCCATGCTCCATCCCGGACACCTGGTCACTGCTTCCTAGGCCCCACCTGTTCCCTTGGGGATGAAGTTGCCAGTCCTTGAACTCTGGGGGACTCATTCAGACCATAGCAGAGGCTAAGATAACGGTACCACTCAAGAGTCCACCCTGAACTAGAAGACACAGGGGCTGAGATGAGCTACATATGTAAATTGGGCAGGAGTCCCCAGCAGTAGTCACTCCTGGGCTGCCAGGGCCGACTCTTGGTGTCTGTTAGCCCATCCCAACAAGACTCACCTTTCTTAGGGCACCAGGCTCGCCTCTGTGCCAAGAGTGCCCCAAGCACATGGATGACAGCTGGATTGGCAGTTCCAAGGGGCCAGTGCCAAGAACCCGCATGTCTCAGAACCCAGTGGGCGACCATGTTTCAGGGCTAAGTTGGCAACATCAACACAATGGGTGAAGAGCCACAAGGTCATTTAGCCTTTCTCTTAAATGCATCCAAGAGAGCTGGCTTCCCTCAACTCTAGTTTTACAAAGTTTGTAGGTTAGAAGACACTCTGCTCTCCTAGGCTGGCAAGGTGTTGGTTTGTTTGTTTTCCTCCTTGAAAAGGGAAACATGACTAGCCAGCTTCCCTGGTAGAGGCTGCTTCTGGAAGTAGACTAGCCCGGGGCTTGGGAAATGGAACAGCTTCAGGACCCCTCTGTCCAAGGCAGTAGAGTGTTAACAGCAGACTTTGGTTCTAGTTATAATACCGAATGGTTAATGTTGAGTGTGCCCTGGACTAGTCTGTCTTCACTCATTCCTGTGTTCTATCCTAAGCCTCACAGCAACCTGGGAAGGGTTGAGGAGATTGAGGCACAGAGAAGTTAAGGAACTTCCCAGGGACCGCATTCAGGCTCTTCTGTCTCAGAGATTAGAAGACACAAAACATTGTAACTAACTGCAGTGTCTTGCTGCACAGTAGCTCTTCCAGCAACTGAAATGTAGTGTCCTTTGACTCCATGTCCCCACACCACCCCCAGCCTGTGGTGTTTTAGATTTTAAGGTCATGTGGTGCTGCCTTTCTGTGCTGGGCTTATTTCCCTTAACATGACTTCCTCCAGGTTTATCATGGTGTCAATGGCGGTATTGCAGCCTGTTGAAGGCTGACTGGGATTCCCTTGCGTACATAGGCCACAGTTTTTAACTCCATCCATCCATTTGACATCTAGGCTGTGGTGGGTAGGTTGTGATGAACATGGGAGTGCAGGTGTCTCTGATGGACAGATTTCATCTCCTTTTCACAGATACCCAGGATTGGGATTACACGATTATATGGTAGTTTTTTTTGAGGAATTTCCATAATAGTATAAAAAATAGTCCCAGAGGCCATACTAACTGACATACCTATCAACATTGCAAAAGAGAATAGATTTTAAGCGTTTTAACTACAAAAGTTTTCCAGGGTCACGTAGTAAGTGGCAGAGCCGACATCCAGGTGAGGCAGGTGGTAACAGCAGACTTTGGTTCTAGTTATATTCCTTTCTCTCAACACCTGCCCTGCGCAGCCCCCGCAGGGCTGAGTCCTGTTGCACAGAACTCATCAACCAGCCTCTGCAGTGCTAAGCCTGAGGTGAGATCAAGTGCAGTGCTTGATATCTCCTAATTGATGGTGACAGAATAGGAATCAGGAACTGGTTTTCCCAATAGACTGTCCTCACCTTCCTTTTTGAGAAAACCAGCCTTGTGGAATTGCAGTCTGTTCTGTTCCCAAGGAGATCTTCCCACACCTGAATCCTGAGAGAAAAAATGATTAGTGCAGACCTCCTAGACCAGAAGCCTTCGGGACAACCAGGCATGGTTTTGAAGGTGGCTTCAGCCTCTTCTTTGGGGAGGACCTCAGCAGTCCTATGCACAGGGTAGAACCAGAGTTTGGTTCCTTACATCAATCTGGGGCCATGAGCATGGCCCTTCCCCTACAACGGGGACCTAAAACCAGGGGCCTGCCAGTGCAGCACCCCCACAGACTGGTTGCCTGTGCCTTTATGTGTCATGTGAACTAGCATTTGTAAAAGTCGGGAATGAACAGTGGGGAAAATAAATGCATTTCTGGCTCCTCTTAAAAATAGAATTTGTGGCAACATTAATTGCCTGTTCTCAGTAAGCTTTTACAGGGTAATAGTGTCTCCTGCAATTACCCATTTAATTCTTCAGGCTCATTTTCTGAGTCTTAGAGACATAAGTCAGAGCTCTGCTAGAGAGGGTTAGGATGGAGCAGCACGTCTGCGCCGTCTTCCATTTCCTGCAGCGGGCAGCTCCCTTCCTCCTGCCCGCCTCTGTAAGACGCACAGCTGTGGCCCACTCTTGAGAGGCTGTGCTGAAAGCCTGACCAGAGGCACACACCAGTATTCAGCTGGCATGAGGGCTCCCTTGAGGTCAGAGGGTGCTGCCTTCTTGCCTCACCTGTCATCTTAGACAGGCCCTTCTGCTGCCCACTTAGGAAGAGAGGTGGGTATGAGAGCGTGCCTCCCTACCTGGGAAATAAAGGGAATTTATAAATGCTCACATCCGCCTTTGTTCCCTCACAGTGTGATCCAGCTTTGCTCCCCGAGCCCAATCACGTCATGTTGAACCACCTTTACGCACTTTCTATCAAGGTAATGACCCCCGTCTTTCACTATCGGAGCAGTTTCTCAGCATGTGCTCTGAGGACCCCAGGCACTGGGAGTGCCTGGGGTGCTGGTTTAAGGGCAGCATCCAGGGCTGGGCGAGCTGTCTGGCTCAGTTTCTGAGGTGGGCCCAGGAGTACGTATCTCTCTTCAGCCCTGTGATGAGGGTTGTGCACGCTGAAGTCTGATCCCCTGACCTGGTCCTGCCTTCAGTCAGTTCCTCCCTCTTCCTCAGGACGGAGTGATGGTGCTCAGTGCAACCCACCGGTACAAAAAGAAGTACGTCACCACCTTGTTATACAAGCCCATATGAAGAGCTGCGGCCAACGGTGGACCGAGGGACAATGGTACCATCAGGTTCCCTGCATGCATGCTTTCCACTAGAGGCATGGACTGTCAGTTTCTCATTTCACACTCTTTTTAAGACATTTCACACCTGCCCTAGTCCTACTTGAAGGTTCATCCATCCAGGCACAGCAGCTCCAAAAGAGCCTGGGCCTGTAATAGTCCTCTTAGCACCTCAGCTGCGAGCCTCAGGGGGCTCAAGGCCAAGAAAGGCAAAATGGAAGGCGAAGGAGCCACAACCCCTGCACCACAGCGCGTGAGGATGGTGCGGTTGGAACACACCTCCCTCAACTGGTGTGGACACTCCTTAAGCCAAAAGTGAGTGCTGGCCACCTTGCTAGTAAAACTCTGGGAAGTAGGGAACAAGGCCACACAAAATTCCTATCATCTGGGCATCTTTAAGGCCATCTGCCTGTCCTTCCAAATTGAAGCAATAGATTGCCCTCCTTTCTCTGCCTTAGGGAGGTGTCATTTCTAGTGAAATTAAAATCCGTCTGGTTTCCAGGTAAAGTCTTTAGTAGTTTCCTATACTGTGCGCTAAGTCCTTTTTTATTATCCAGAGGTGGCTAGCTGTACAAGCTAATAGCAATAAGTCACCATGACTAGAACATAGATCATGTGACTGCTCAGCAATAATCTGTTCCCCGAACAGACTTAAACATACTGCCAGATTTCTCCATTCACCTGGATGACCCTAAGGACTGACGACCATTAGCTGGAAGGTTGTCCAGCTTTTTATCCCAATTGTAATGACAACTTTGCAGAAGACCCTGAGCCCTCCTTTCAGCCACCTCTCTTGGGACTCGTGTCCCTAGTTAGAGAAGAAGGCTTCAGCTGTTGTTGTTGCTAGTAAAAGGGATTTAGAACCTGACAGCAGCCCTCTGAATTCATGCCAGGATGACACCCTTTAGACCAAAGTGGACATCTTTATACTTGGCTCAGTTTCCAGGGAGATGCCACACATGTGCCCATTGGTGCAGGTTCCTGTCACCCAATCAGCAAAAGTTAACATTGTCTCTTTTGTTCTTGCTGGGAGAGGGAGGGATGAGCTTGCTGGTGTACAGTATTTATTTGGTAAACCTGAGTACAGGTACCCTTTTTTGTTACTGTTTTCAAAACACTGAATTGCTGTCACCTTGACACACAAGTTTCAATAAAGCTTTGTAAAAATAATTGGACATAAAATTGGAGGAAGCCCTGGTTCTTATTCAGTTGTTTAGAGACTAGAACTTTCCCAGGTTTGTTCAAGACCACCCTTGTGGCACTCTGGAGTGTGGGGCAGAACTGTTCCAGCTCCCTTGGGGCTGAGGGACATGACCTTGATCCACCCACTTAAGCAGAGTTTGGAGATATGTTCAGAGGCCTCTGAGACTGACTCCCTTTGCCACTCAGACCCAAGCAGAAGCAGGTGGGCAGATCCCAGGCAGAGGTTTCGCTTTCTTGTGTTCATAAACAAGCCCTGCAGGGACGCCTGGAATCGTGATTCTGGCTTGTGAGACACCAGGACATTTTTGAGTGAGCTGTTCTATTACCTGAAAGGGGCTCAGGCTCTCCTCCCAAGAGCATGAAAGGTTGTGGGTGATTTTTAAGCCTTTTCTTCACACATCAGGAAATATTTTAAATAAATGGCAGAAAAAGGAGGCTCTGACTCATCTGGCCCATGGAGCCTGGAAAGCACCCCCAGCTGGGTACCTGTCTTGCCCTGAAAGCTGGTGACATGGGAATCCTTGATTTCAGAAACTAGGGTTTCATCAAGTAGACCTAGATGAATAGAAAACAGTTATCTCCAAATTGGATAAAACATTTTTAAACTATTGAAAATATCTAAACTTAAAAGTATGAAAGAGGTAGTCAAACACCAGAAATGAAGAAGCCCTGCCGGAGAGCCCGAGGAGAGCCGGTGCCCTGGTAGAAGCTGGGAGGGCCCAGTTAGGCCAGGACCTCGCTCTGAGCTCCAGGCTGGGATTGGACCCCTACACCCGGGCCCCCTGCAGGAGTCAGCCCAGCCTAGCCCAGCCCCCCTGCCTGTGACGGATGGGAGACTCCAACTGCAACCAGAGTCAGGGCTCAAGGAGCCATCAGCCCTGGGTGGCAGGTGGAAAGTGAGAAGAGAAGCCAGTATACAAATGAGCTCTCCCCAGGGCCGTGCTGGAAAACCCGAGCTGAAAATCAGTTAGGAACTAGTGCAGAGCCAGTGACCCTGTAACTCCCGGCTCTTGGTCCACAGGGGACCCCAGGGGAGATGACTGCTTAGGGCAGGCCCACCTGCAACTCATGAAGACAGGGGTGTCTGGGAGCTTCTCCAGCATTCTGTGTGTACATTTTAAAAGATGTCATTTTCTTGAAAAAGCATAAAACAGTTCATTATGATCCAGAACACTGCCCGCAGAGCCAAGTGAAAGACGAGACAGAAGAGGCTGGAGATCGTGGAAGAGGAAAAGCAGATCCTGCTCTGCACAGCACATAGGGCCGAAGCCACATGTCCAGCTGTGTATCCTGTAATCCAGGACATGCTCCCTCAGCACTCATCCTGTTTACACAGTTAAAGCCTAACTCACATTGCTTTTCAATGATGATACAATTTTCCTCTGGAAATGTATATATAAATGAATTTATAGTCAAAGGTAAGGCCTGAAAAGCTTTAAAATATAGCAGTATTTCAGGGTAAATTGTTATTCCCCTAGTATCCTCAGGGGGTTGGTTCCAAGGCCCACCTCAGACACCAAAATCTCTGGATGCTCAGATCTCTTCTAGTGTAGTATTTGCATACAAGCTGCACACAGCCCCCACATTGTCTCTAGATTACTTGTAATACCTAGTGCAGTGGAAATAATCCAGCTGTATTGTTCAGGGAGTGACAACAAAAAAGGACAGTACAGTTTTCTTCAGCTTGGTTTTCATTGTGGTCAGTTGAACCTATAGAAGCAGAAGCCTTGGGAGGGTCCACTGTAGAACCACATATTGAAAACTGAGCCAGAGAGGACAGGACCCAGGCAAGGCTGTGTCCTTCCCTCTGGCTCCAGTTTACGAGTGTTAGCCGTCTCCCTACCATTCTCTCCAAGTGTGGACACTGGACAGAGATCAGGGATGTTGATCTAGTCGGTTTGCTGACTAGCTGTGTCTTTGGGCCAAATTACATGCCCTCTCTGATCTGGATTTCATTCCCTGAAGAATAAGGAGTGTTGTACCAGCACCTGATGAGGCCTAGAGCTCCCTTCATTTCACCTGGGAGCCACGAAGCCTTGGCAACAAAGCTGGGATGTGGGCACAAACAGGAAGTCAAGGCACTGGGCAGGAAAACTAGCTTAATTAGGAAGTCTCCACAGCTCCAAAGCTCCAGAACATCACAGTGATACCTCCTTGGCTCAGATCAGAGACAGACTATTTTAGGGAAAAACAAAAATTTGTGTTACTTGCCATTGGCATTCCACACATTCCTTCCTGCTGGAGAGAACAGCAACACAGTGCCATCTTGGGAGCAGACAGCAGCCCTCACCAGACAACTATACCTGCCAGCACCTTGATCTTGAACTTCCTAGCCTCCGGAACTGTGGGAAAATAAATTTGTTTATACATTCCCCAGTCTCAGGTATTTCGTAACAGCCATACTGAACAGACTGACATCCACCATGTATACAAATGGTTTGAATGAGTTCATGAGGACCCTAGCCTGTGGCTCACTCAGATCATCCAGCTTCTGAGGAGTTCCTCCCTCTATTAACTAAGTGAATTGGTGGGAAACAGAAACTTGAGCCCTCTGCCTGGAACAACTATTATTGTCCTTAGAAGAAAACATGGAGGTTATGGACATGTAAACATTTCTTCTAAAACCCAAGTCATTCCAACTAATTATAAAATATCCACAGGGTCCTCCCAAGAGTTGTCACCGATGTGAACCTTGGAGGGGATCCTCAAAGCTGGAACTGCAGTCAAGAGCCTTATGTTTTGGGTCCAGTCATTGTCTCGGGGACAAATGCTGGGCTCTGCCCTCAGGGTTGGCTCCCTTGACTATGCTGTCTTTTTCTTGCTCCTCATACAACTGAAGGGCCTTTTTCAGATGAGGCAGCCCTGGGTGTCCCCACTGCCCCCAGAGGAATCTTCCATCTGCAAACTCAACAGCCAGCAAGAGCGCAGCAGCCAGCCCCAGTTCTGTGCACTTTGGCTCCACTTCATCCATCCTGTTTGGTGGCTCTCTAAAGCAGCCTGAGTCATTAAAGTAGCAAAGTCATTTTCAAAGTCCTTTCCTCAAACAACCCCTTGAGGCCAAACAGAATTCCATTAATCATTGACTGGACGGGGAAGAATGGTCACCGCTCACTCTATTTCCATTAGCCCCATCCTCCCAGGCTTCAGGAAAATCAAGTTTCAACATTTGATTAAGCAAATGACAAAACACATTTTTCCTGTAAACACTGAGTGCCTAGAGCCATAATCCCTTGCTCTGGCCATTAGCTGCAAATATTTAAACTGCTAAAAAAGAAATGTGACTAAACCAACCAGGACAGACAAGGTTTCCCAACCTTGGCACCTCTGACACTTGGGGCCAAATCTTTCTTTGTGGTTGGAGGGTGAGGGCTGCCCGGTGCTTGGAATGATGTTTAGCAGCAGCCCTGACCTCTGCCCATTGGGCACTAGTAGTGCCCCACCCACTTATTGTAACAACCAAAACTGTCTTCAGACATTGTCAAGTGGTCTCTGGGGAAAGGAAGCACAATTGTCCCTGGCTGAGAACCACAGGAACAAGCCAGTTCAACTGTCACCTTAGGAATGAAAGCTTGGCTGGCCCCACCCCTGTGGACCCACCCTTAAGTCTGCATCCATGTGTTTCTAAAGCCAATCACATTACAGAGGCCCACTTCTGAAGACAGACCAGCTCTTGGGTCCCATTAAACAAATCACCTCTCTTTGGCCTAAGTGTCCAAAAGCTTTCCGGTTATGAAATTTCCTGTGTATTTGACGTAATCTTTACACATCAAATCATCCAACTTCAGAGGAATCCATCCCTAACACCTCTTGACCAGCAAATTAGTGGGGAAACAGAAACTTGAGCCCTGGAACAACTATAGTGGTCTTCAGGAGGAAACAAAGAAGTTAAGGACATGCACACATGTCGTCTAAAAGCCAAGTCATTCCAACTATGGTAAAAATCTACAGCATGGATTAAAGTCATAAGCATGAAAATTAAGTTGTAAGCACAGAAAACACGACATCTGATTTTGTGCATAAGAAACAGGAATGGCAGCAGGGAGGGCTGGGCCTCATTTTCTGGTTGTTTCTTTGAGGTTGTTCCTTAGAGTCACAGAACCTATCTTGGTGCATTTCTTTTGGAACCAAAACATGTTTACTTAGCTTTTAAAAAGTCCGTGTCTGCCAAGAATTCTCAGAACAATAACTGAAATGGTTGGTTAGCATTTAACGTTAGAAGGAAATAAAGCTTCTAACATTTCATTTCTTCATCCTGTGAATTATTTTCATTCTTATAATTAAGATCTTGTGGCCAATTTTTATGCCCAACAGTAAAAACAGAAAAGAGGAACAATATTGCCGATATGGCATTACAAGCCATCAGACATAACCCTGCATGTCAAATTTTGATTATGGTAAGATTGCCTGATTAGAAAATAATAAGATCAAAGACTAAAAACAACAGGAACCATGAAAATATATATACCACCATTGCCAAAACCAATGTTTTTCTATATCCAGCTAGTTATATAACAAAGTAGCAGAGGAAATTCACCTTGCAGACTAAAAATGGATTTAGTTAAAAACAGAAGTATTTACATTTTTAGTTACCTTGATCTGAACTGCTTCCTCCAAAGACATGTACATTATTAAATTCCTGGTGACCTCATAATGGATGAGAGAAATCAAGTTGACCTGCTTTCCTGTTTGGCTGTGTTATGAGTAATCCATTCTTGAGAAATCCTTTTAAAATGGCCTACTAGACTGCTTACAGAGTTTTCCGGTTCTGCAGTTCTTCAAAATGATCTTAATAACCCATTCCTGGTTCCCTGGAAGTACTGACCAAACTTCACGATGGTGTGCTTTGGAAGAGAAGCCCCTGAGCTCTTGATTCCAGGAAAGCAGGATATGCTCATCACCATGTGCCCCCTGCCACCCAGAAACCTCCCACAGAGCCAGGAAGGCCCCAGGTCATAAAGTAAGCCAATGCAGACACTGGCGATGTTTTTTTTGTTGTTGTTTGTTTGTTTGTTTTTGGGTTTTTTTTATGGTTTCTGTCAAGAAAAGATGAGGTCATTGCACCAAAGCAAACATTTTTAGATCATTGCTTTATTTCACTATTGTTCAACAACAAAGTTCATCTCTCTCAAGGTGGATCTTGGATTGTTCCTTATGTTCTCATCCTTATTCTGAATAAAAAAGGTAATGAAGAAAAAGCCTGTACTTTTGGAGACCTAGAATCTTATTTATACTAATAAGCTTTTGACTGCAATTTCATGTTTCGATATTTCCTGCTGGCGTCTTGGTGGACACATGGAGCGCCCAACCCTCTGATGAAGATGGCTGTCCGTAACTACCACCGTTGAAACCAAAAGTAAGTGTTGAAAAATGCACCTTTTACAATAAAAAAGTAGAAACCAATTCAATTTCCTTTTTTTTTACGAATATAAAGTTTCTTGTAAATATGTACAGTCTTTTGAGCTAGTTCTATATAGCAGGAAGCATTTCACAAATGAGACACACAATATACATTTTTCAGGGCTTGTGATGCCCTTTTTCTCATGGAGATCCTAAATGAAATGCCAAGACTGAAAGACCAATTATCAGTGACCTTTCCAAATACTTGTGGACCAAGAGACAAAAACTTCAGCAAACATTCAGTCAGATCTGCCCTAGGGGAGGGGGAAGAGAATATGATCCCAAGCAACACATAAAACACAGCAGCAGGACACTTGCCAATGGGCTACAACACGGAGGTTCATGGGTGGTTCAAACAAGAAAGCACTTAGGTTAAGAGACGAGCAGGAAGGAGCTGGTATTTGGGCCAGGTTGCAATCTGGAAAGTGACTTGAACTGTGGACACATGGGTTGAAAACACGGTCACGTTCACCTGCTGCGGTGGAAACAGGTCTACCTTCAGCCCACCTAGGATGTGCCTTGGTTTTGAGGCATGCCTAAGAATCATGGAGAATCCAAAGCAGGAGAGGCCTTGTGGGAGATTAAAGGCAGAAATAAGGCCGCTAGTTAGCTTGCCAACTGCAAAGCCTCTAGGTTGGTTCTATACCAGTTGCCAGGAACTCGGCCCTCTGAAAGAAGGCAGAGAGAAATAGGGGGCGCCGCACTGCACCTAGGGAGGACCAGCCAACCCAAGGGGGCTGGAAGAGTTGAGCTGCGGCTTCTCTCTAACATCCTGGTATTATGTCTAGCCCTAGGCAAAGGCTCATTTGAGAAGTCACAGTTTCAGGGTAGAACCGTGCTGGATTTTGTGTGAACACAGTCATCCGTGAGGAAGTCGGCAGGGGAGCATGAGGGTCAGAGGGGAAACCGGGTGGGGGGCGGTTTGCTGAAGTCCTTCTCTGGTCGTAAGGCTTGAGCGTTTTGTTTGTTTGTTCAGTGCTACAGACTGCAGCTTGTTGTGGCCAGTTGTTGGCAAGTCGGCAGAGGGTCTCGATTCGGAGGGAGCTATGGGATGGCATCAACACATTGGCAGCGCAACCCAAAGGGGTCAGCCAGGTCAGGGGGCAGCACATGCAGTGAACCGCCATGCAGAGCTCCTGGACGGGTCTCCTCCCCATCCCAGAGTGGGGAGCAACACGCCATCAAGGACAGTCCCCTCCCAACCCAAGACCCCAACCCCAAGACCCATTAATGCTGGGCTCAGAGCAAGTCTATTGCATGCTTTCCTGGCCAAAGCTACATGGTAAGCGGGGACAGCAGGCTGGGGATGACACTGGGGGTCGAGGAAGGAAAGCTCGGTGAGGTCCCTTGGCCCCAGGTCACTGCCTCCAAGCTGAGGCCCGATGACCTCCGTACATTCTCAGCTGGTGGGAGGGGAAGTCGTCAAGGCCATAAAAGGCAATGAGAACAGTAAACATTTGGCTACGATGTCACCCTACATAAAGCAGGGCCATCTATGAAAATGGACTGGAACGAGAATGAAGCGACAGGAACTTGGGAGATTAGCGGAACAACGGGGACTCTTCTACACTACGTTTCAGTGGCAGAGACCTGATGGTGTGATCTAGCTAAAAATGACTACAACAGGAAATACACTGCTATTCAAATCTATTAAGAATTCTGTTGTCTTTGAAAAAAAAAAAAAGAAGAAGAAGAAACAAAGGAGAAAACCAAAAAGAAAAACCAACCAACCCCAGGATCTTAAAGTAGCTAATTAGGATTCTAACCACAGTTAGTGTTCCGGTTGGTTTCCTCTGATGAACTGGTACAGGCTAGAGCTAGGTACAAAAGTTTATGAATGCTTGAAAGAGTAACAAAGTGCAAAGAGGGTGACTGCAGGAAGGTGCCTGGAAGAGGCCCCAAGCAATGACAGCTCTCAAGAGCCCCGGCCACCTGCACCTCTGGAGACAGGGGTGTCCGAGCCGAGGCAGGGCTGTGCCCAGCTGTGCCGTGGGTGGCTGAGCAGATGGGTGCTGGGGTCCCCTGCAGTGGAGTTCCATAGTGTGTTTGGTGTTTTCCTGCAGACTTGAGATGAGGAGTTGTTTTTTGTTTTTTTTTTTTTTTGTTTTTGTTTTCTGGCTGAGATTTATACTGAGGACTGGTCCCAGACCTACGAGCAAAGTAAAAATGAGAAGGGCGTTAGTCATGCGCAGCCAGGACCTGCTGGGCTCACTCTGCACCATTCTAAACAGGCATTTGGAGTGCCTGGTCTGTCCCTCTGGTGGCCAGCAGTGAGGGTAGTGCAGGGCAGCACCCACACACAGAGCCAGCCTTTCAACTCGGGTGGCGAGGGGGTGACAGTCACCTAGACATTTGCAGAGCTGTGAAATTCTCCTGAGGGGCACATGTGCACTGACACACACACAGCCAAGTTTACTGACAAGTGAGAAGCAATCTGAAAAAATGGTTTTTCCTCCTTTGTCTGCAGAAGTGCCAACAGTGAACTGCAGATGGCACTAGGAGGAGAACATTATACAGAAAGGGGGACAAAAAGGTTGCTCAGCCGTGCAGAGCAGGCTCCTGGAACAGGCTGTCCTGCAGAGAGGCAGCAAGCACAGGCCTGTCCTGCTTGTGGGAACCCCAGTCTTCCTCCTGTAGATAATACATGCACATGATTTAAAAATTTTTTAAACTTCAAAGTTCTAGAAGGCCAACCCTGCTGAGTTTCTATGTAGCCTTCCGGGGGGAGGGGGGGGGGAATCCTGTGCAAAGAACATTTTGTACAACACATTATCATTTGTGTTTAATGGACACACACACACACAAACACACACACACTTATTCACACAGAACACCCCTCAAAGCTCTGGAGCTGTTGACACTTGCCTCTTGGGAGGGGAACAGTCCCGCCCTGGAGCAACTCCCACTTGAGGACATCCTACACAGCCACACAGCCACCCTCACGCCTACCATACCCCCTATCTGCCCGGGCAGCACCTTCTTCAAAACAGTACACTCTCCTCACCAACCCAAGTACCTTACAAAACCTGAGTAACAGTAGTGACCTCAGCACCTAAGGTCACGCCTCTGGATCTTGTGACAGACATGCAGGCCTCAGAATGTCGCCTCACCTTGTTGACCTGCGACAGTGGGGTCCTCACGGCTCCCACAGGCAGCCGGCCCCTGCTGCTGTCTTCAAACAGCCTCCCAGGGGACCGCTCCCTCCGCGTGCTAAGCATGCGGCCTGGGGACTTCTCGCGCTCCAGGGGGCGGCCGGGAGACTTGTCCCTGCGTAGCTCTGTCCGCCCCTCGCGGTAGCGGTGGGGTGTGCTTGGCTCTCGGGGGTGGCTGGGGCCTTCGGGTGGCGCCGGACTGGAGGCCACGCGCTTGGTGATGTGCTCGTTGTACGTTGGTGGGCCTCGCTTGTTGGGGCTGCTGGCAAGAAGAGAAGGGGGCAGGGAGCTGGGGAGTCACGATCCCCAAAGGGTGTCCCCCTTCTACTCTGTGGCCCCACACCTCAACGTCACCACCACTGTTTAGAAAAAGGCCAGGCCTGGAGCCCGGACCTCCTGCTTCTTGTGTCTGGGCAGTGAGGACAGGGAAGGCAGCAGCCACCACAACAGGAAGCCAAACTTCCTGGCCACAGTAAAGGCCACGCCTCCTGTGCGGGCTCTGTGGCGAAGCTCTTCCTGTGTGTGACCCCCTCATCTTGTTGGATCACAGCATCCCGGGGAGCCGGAAGCAAGCAAGACCCTCACTGAACAGGCAAGAAATGGAGACACAGGGCAGCGAGGTGACTGCCTGTGCTGGATTCCAAACCAGGTCGGTGTGAAGTCATGATCCCCACTACACCCTGCTGCCCTAGTGCCCTCAAGAGCTGGGAAGGGACAGAAGAAAGCCTTCCTTTGGGGCTAAGCCTGCTACAATCCAGAAGTCAGGGACCCACAAGGGCCTCAGTGCAAAGGAACAGTTTTCAGAAATCCTGTGCTGGTCACTGTCAGCTGCCATAACCTGTCCCACACTTGAGTCTGGTGTTGGGTCACCCCTCCCTGTAGGTGGCTTTCCACGAGTCTTTGTGGCACCTGCTGCAGATGTGGATGGTTCTAAGTCATGGCAGTAAGGTCATGGGATGCAGTAGCAGGCTGACACAGTCAGGAGGCCGAGCAGGGCGACCACAGTCCAGCCAGCTCACAGAGCATCGCCCCCAGAGGCCGGTGGCTGATGACAGAACAGTTGAAAACGCTGGGGCCTTTATTAGGGGTGGGGATCAAGCCCAGAGCCTCGTGCACGCCAGGCAAGTGCTCTCCCACTGAGCCACAACCCGGCTCCACGGGGCTTTCTGAACAATCAATCCGGCTGCACCCCCCAACTCCCCACCCTGGCCCGGGCCTGGAAGTTCCACATGAGGCCTCAGCACATCCCTGGCCTAATGACCTCTGAAGAAGCCAGATCCAGATGCACAGGGAGAGAGTGAGCAGAGGCCACCTCACCGTGGTCAGTTCACTGTGAATAGCTTCATGTCTCTCTTGCTTCCCAGGGGCTCTAACTGGGGACTCAGTGCTCAAAAGGCCCACACCCCTGTGATGTCTGTGAAGCAGTGACACTCAGATTCCTACATCTTGAAATCAAGGTTCATGTGCTCATCTAGCCATACAGCTCTGAGATACGAAGACAAATAACAAATACACTCCAAGAGGAGGACTACATGAAGCCTATTGTAATGGCAGAGAAATCATAACCCCTGTCTTCAGAGGCCCATCAAAGAGCAGTGTGAGGGCGCTCGGTGCCCAGGGAAAGCAGGCTGGCCCAGGGAGGACGGCAGCCAAGATGAATGGGAGGAAGGAAACACTCATCATTGGAAGCCGAGCAGGCAGTCTTCCATCTACATAGCCATTAACGACCAATGATCTTCCACATCCATTTTATGTGTTTTGCAAAGAGTTATGTTTTTTGCTCTGCCAAACAGACCAGGAAAACGAGGCCTGCAGTGAATCACACCCACCAAGCAGCCTTGTGCATTCTGACCTGCCCAGAGCAGTCGGCAGCAAAAGGACTGTTCCTTAAGGTGGGAGACAACCAAGACTGAGGGCCGGTTCTCCAGACACGCCCGGGGGCCCCAGGGACCCATACACATTATTTTTCATCCCTGTTCACAGATACTGCAACCATTTTCAACTACAGAGTAAGCAACTCCTTACTGGGAAACGTAGGGTCTTGAAAGCAAGGTATCCGGCCATCTAAGAGGCAATGAGGGGGGATCTAATTGCAATATTTTGACTTGTTTCTGGCATGACTTGGAAAGCACTTAAGGAGGATCTAGATATTTCAGGGGAAGATAGTGGACCACTGAGTGATCACTCTGGAGGCATCAGGAAGCACCTGGTTATTATAACTTGTGGATTCTTGGCAAGCTCCTGGGATTAAAACTATGCTTATGAGGGCAGGTAGAGCCCGCCCAGCACACAAGAGAACCTGGGCTGGATCCCCAGTACTTGCCAACAAACAGACCCACACTGACCAGACATGTAGAAGGGCTGGGGCCGGGGCTGGGGCTCAGTGGCAGAGCTCTTGTTTAGCACTGGTGAGGCACTGGGTTCGATCCTCAGCACCACATAAAAATAAATTAATTACATAAAGGTATTGTGTCCATCTACCACTAAAAATATTTAAAAAAAAGAACAAAGAGCCAAGCATGGTGGTACATGCCTGTAATTCCCAGCAACTCTGGGGCTGAGGCAGGAGGATCTTAAGTTTGAGGCCAGCCTCTTGTCCATAGTGTAATGAAGCACTACCCAGCATGGGGTGCTTCATTACAACAACAGAAAATAGACTAATACATAGTGTTATTTTTAAAAAGAGAATCGTACACACATATGCTTGGATATGTACAAAAGATTTCTAAGTAAAAACACAAAAACTTAAAACATGGGTCCCTTCCTAGATGGGGACCTAAGTGGTGGGGGCTGGGGAGAGTTGAGAGGCATGACAGAGCCAGCAGAGATTTTGTGCTGCCATGTGCCTTTCTCAGTCCTTTGCATTCTACACCCTGGGATTGGATCAACAATTCAAAAATTATGAAATGAATGAAATTTAAGAAGAATATCAGTGTGATCATGTTGGGGAGGTCCTGCATTCGTAGAGGCTACCACGCAGGCTGGGAACCCAGGCCCGCACCCACTGCTTCACGCCTCTGGGCCTGCACCTTTGTTTGGCACAGCTTTCCTCCTGCCAGTGTACCCCACTGCCTTCCCTGTCTGTCACCCCCAGCCTCACTTCTCCCTGGCCCCCAAGTCCAGGCTGCAGGGCCCTCCTGAGCCTCCCTAGTGCTTAAACTACCCCACCAGAGCCTCAACCTATGCTGTGATCCCCTGACTGCTCCCATCTCTCTCCCACCAGGCTTTGAGCCCATCAGAGAGGGCCACACCTGGCCAACTCCGCACTGCCCGTCTCCCACGTGGCCGACCACTAGCTCAGCAGAATATCTGCGAGCAGGGAAGCACAATCCGTGCTCCCGACTAAGCACCTCTGAAACACCCACCAGAGAAAGATGGGAAGGCTCCCTTTTCCTTTTACAAGCGGTCCTTTCCTAATTCTCCAGACGCTTATAAAGGCTTGTGCCATTTCTGGGCCACAGACCTCCAAGAAATGAGTGGTTTGTTCTTGAGGGCAGAATGGAGACGAGAAACCTTCAACCAGTTTAGCAAGTTTCCTTTGGCTTTTCAGAGCAGCTGGGCTGTTACCTGCGGGAGGTGGAGGGGACCCGGTGGTGGTCGGTGCCGGACTCCTTCACAAGGTTTCCTTTGCAGCATATGACCCTTAATTTATCCTGATACGAGGAGGCCAGGTAAATCGCTCCTGAGGAAATCGCAGGACCCAGGTAGCGTGGGTTCGGGATTTCCAGATACGCTCTGGCAGGGGTCCTACAGAGTTCCAGACAAGAGTTGGCAGTCACTGGGGAGTGGTTAGGAAGAAACACCTGCCCCTCCCTGGCACCCTGCCCCCACCCCTGAAGATGGAGTTCTCAGAGCACAGAGGTGTGGTGCTTACCCCAGCGAGGAGCGTGCCTGGATTTCAATGACTTCCAGTGAGTTGAAGTGGGTCACAAACAGATAGGGTTCTCTGTAGGCTGCGTGGCCACCGGGCACCGTGGAGGAGGAGCAAAGGCAGAGGAGGGTTCAAAGAGGGAAAATTAAAGCCTGGCTGTGAGGTCCCCCTTGATCTAGCACTCCCCCCCCTGCAGGACTCTTTCCTCCAAGCGCTTTACACACACACCCCTACGTATACATACACAATGAAATTTTATAAAGGTGGGGATAAGAATATATATTTTATGAGATTATTTGCAAAAAGCACTGGAAATATAAGTGATTCAAATTTTTCTTCCTTTAGTGGAGTACAGAGAAAGAATATAGCAAATGGGAAACATGGGAGACTTCTCATGGTATACTATTAAACTAATTGTATACATCGTCAAAAATTTAAAAAGATTGCACTTAGCTAATTAGATATTTCTGGTCTTAATATTCTCTCTCTATATTAAGTCACTCATCTCTCTGTATAGTACCACTGAAACTGTAGAGGATATAATGGCACTGTTGATTCTCACTATTATTCCTTGGGGCAAACCATTATGTGGGTGTAGACTCTCAGTCATGCTTCCCAGGACTCAAATCCCCACGCAGTTCCCTTGCCGTGAATACGCACCCACCCTGTGGCCCCTTGAACCAGAATGTGGAGGCGGTGCCAAAGCTGCCAGCCTGTAAGTCCATACTCTTTGAGGAGGCCTCCAGCCACCAGCCCCAGCGGAAGTCCCTACTCTGTGTGTGTGAGACTGTCAACAACACGTGGAGCACAGGTGTCCAACCAGACCACAGACTCATGAGCAACGACAAGGTGCTGTTTTAGGTCACTAAGTTTAGGAATGGCATATCATGCAGTAATATATAAATAAAATGGCCTTAAAGGGTATTTCAGCCAAATGATATTCCAGAAAACTCACACAAGTTGTGTGTGTGCATATTTGCACGTATGCGGGTATTTACTCTTGGACTCAGAAACTCTACTTTTAGGGACCCGTCATCTGGAGATACTATTTGATAAGTGTACAAATATTTGTTCAAGGATGTTCATTACAGTGTTGTTGACGCTTATAAAGGTATGGACGTGGCTTAACCACTCTGCCTAATTAGAACTGGTTACGTTGGCAGGTATTTGGCTATACTGTGGGACACTACATAGTGTTTGGAAATGATTTAAATAAGTCCACAGCAAATGGTCTTCTTTCTATGATGAGAGCTTAACAAATATTTTCCAAGGCTGAACTGTGGCCTGGTGGAGCTGGCTTAGGCAATTCTTCAGTAAGCCTCAGAATCTTCTGTCATGTACATTCACTTAGGTGACTGTTATACATGGCGCCCAGTGTCTGATGAAATGCATGACACAGTATTTAAGGCAAAAAGAATTCCACCTGCAACTCTTTCCCATAACACAGGCTCTGGCAAAAGAGGAGCCCCCACACCATGCATCACGCACCAAAGGCCAAGGGTAAGCGGCTCCACTTGAGATCATCTGTGCGGCTACGTCTTCCGTAAGAATCCACGAACACCCCAAATTCTGCAAGGCATCAAGAGATGGGGCTTCAGCATCAGAGGAGTGGAGGGCATTGGGGACACACACCATGACACAAGAATGAGGACAGATCCCAGGGACAACTGGCCAGATTTAACCGAATCAATAAAACCTGAAGACCTGCTGACCATCTCCTTGTTTTATTTAAAATGACGATATAGTATTTATTTTATTAAAGAAAGAGGGATCAAACAAAAGGGAGGTGAATGTAGGAAAAAAAAAGGGTGGGGGGAAAGCGGAAGAGACAGGAAGTGGGTACAGAGATCAAGGAGGCAGAGACCCAGGGACAGGGGGGACCCAGATTTTTTAATATTTTTAAAAAGTAAAGAAAATATCAACAGAGAGAGGGGAAGGGAGAAAAGGAGGGAGGGAGGAAGACAGGCCAGCCAGAGGACGAGAAAGGAAAGAGAGCAAGCAAGTGAGGGACAGAGAAGGAAAGATGGGGCTGCTCTGTGCGGAGGATGGGAGGGGGTGTGCCTGGTGGGCAGTAGGAGCCCAGAGGCCTCAGGTGCTGGACCAACACCTCCGTACTCTCAGCAGGCCCTGCCCCAGGTCCCCACGGCCTGGCCCCGGCCTGGCTCCCAGCCCCACAGGAGCAAGCAGGACGCACCGTGGAAGCACAGCAGGTACTCCTCTCGCTGCCCTGCCCCGTTCACCTGCACGATGGAGACGGGGAAGCTGTTGGAAGAGGAAGCAAACACAGCAGGCGCCAAGGAGTGGTCGTTCTTGTCCAGGAATTCTGTAAAGGCAGGTGGGAGGTGGGCTTCAGGAGGGCTTTCTGACCCTACAAGGCCCAGGCCACGCAGCGGGTGGCGAGGGGACACCAGCCCTACCCTCTAGCGTGTACTGCTTCATGTCGATTTCGTAGAATTTGTTGGTTCCGATGAGGATACTATAATTGGTGAAGTGGATGCAGCTGCAGGGCTCTGAGGTCTCGATCTCCTGAGACAGAGGGCAGAGAAGGACAGGAGATGACACAGGACAGCTGGCTCCTCTGCTCTTCTGTTTCTGCCTGAAGCATCTAGCCACGCTTTGTAGGTAGTCGCTGCCAGAACTGCGACACTGTCACCCTTCACGCCTCTCAGGACAGCCCGCAGTCCCTCTGCTACCCTTTTCCTGATACTCTACACAACACCAGGCTTTTTTGGAAAAGAAAGCCAATTGCAGACAAAAGGCGGGGCAGGGCCAGAAGTGCTATTTCAATGAAAAGGTAGAATTTTAACAATTCGTTCTTATTGGAGAGAAAACTGGAAAACTACACAACTATTAACAGGGGTGGTGAGGAATGGTCTCCTTCCTTTTGCTGGCTTCTAAGTTTCTTTTTTTTCTTAATATTTTTTTTAGTTGCCAATGGATCATTTATTTTATTTATACGTGTGTGATGCTGAAGATCAAACCCAGGGTCTCACACATGCCAGGCAAGGGCTCTACCACCGAGCCATAACTCCAGCCCCGGCTTCTAAGTTTCTAACAGAAACCTCTATTACGTAGTACTTACTGTCTTCATAATCACTGCATTCCTACCTTAATTGTCCACTTGCTCATTATTTATATTTGTTTTTAGGCCAATCCTGTGGTCAAAACACCAGGGGTTCTAATTGGTGGCTAGGAATCATAAAGCAGTAATGAGTTGTGACAATTTTCCTCAACTTACGGTTGGAACTCCCGCCAGCACTATCATCACCACTGACTATGGACTGGCCACCTACCAGGGATGAGGGAAGGGGAAACTGAAACAGCATGATACTAGGGAAAGACTAGGGAAACTGAACTTCAGATGTGGTCTTGACTTTGTAGCCTAGGTTGTCTCCCAGCTCCAACTGTCCTACCTGAACACTGGAGAACTGTCCTGCAAACTGTGGATGGCCAGCTTAGTCCCTGGTGCCAATGGGCGCTCAATAAACCCACAGACTAAACTATCAACCACAGCTATGAGTGGCTCTGGGCTCTTCCAGAAGGGAAGGGTCTCACTCTCTAGGGAGGTGACCCCAGGCTGAATGGTGGCAGAATAGAAGGGGCACACGCTGCTCCCTGACACAAACACTCCACGCGGGATCCTTGGGAGAACAGGATGGCAGGGCTGTGACTCACCTTCCGAATGCAGTACTTGCTGAGGTTTTCGTTGTAGCGGAGGATGACGACTTTGTTGGGCATGGCTGCACAGATACAGAGCCCATTCTCAATCTGCAAAACCAAAGGGAAAAGAGAGAAAGAAAGAGTCACCCATGGGCACCCTGGCTCTGGAGCAAAACTAGGTGAGGAACACCAGTTTGGAGCAGAATCTCTCCACCTCAGACCTACTGACAATCTGGACCAGTTTGTTCTTTGGTGTGGTGGTGGGGCAGAGGGGTGTCCTGCATATTGCAAGATGATGGGCAGCATCAGGGTCTGGACCTACGAGATGACTATAGCACCCTCCAGTTGTGACAATCAAAAATGTCTTCAGACGTTATCAAATGTCTGCTGGTTGAAACACCACTGTAGCTGGGATCCAGGGAAGGCCTCAGGATCCACCTGATAGCACCCACGTTTTGCACACATGTGCCTTTAGCTAGAGACAGATTCTTCTGACAACCTTCCCCTGGGAGAAGGGGGCAGGACAGGATAAGGGAAAGGAGAGGAAAGGTAATAGAAATTGCTACAGGAATTTTAAGACAATTCCAGTATAAATGAAAATGCTCTTAGCTTAGGCCTGTACCTACAGATTCCACATCAAAACTCCCTTTTTCTAGAGTTGAATCCCTCTTTTTCACCCCCCTACAACCAGATCTTTGCCATTCATCAAGGGTGAAAAGATACTTATTGTTCAAATTGTCCTGAAATGAAGGTCAGCAATTGGGCAGGAAAGGAGAGGAATAGAGGAGGAACAGTTCTATTTCTTGGTTTGGATAGCAGGTTCAGGGGTGTTTATTACATCACTTGGCTTTATCACTTACAGGTTTATGTCTCATACTTTTTTTAGTATTTAAAAAATAAAAATAATTTGTAATTTTAAAATTTGGAAACTAAAATGCACATTTCTAAGTAACTCATCATTCACAGGAGAAATTTTTAAACATGTAGAACAATTATAACAAGTTATAATATCAAAATTTATAGGGCACAACTGAACTAGTAGTTAGAAGGAAATGTGTGGCCCTAAAATGGTTATATTAGAAAAATACCCTGAAAAGTTAATAAGTTTAAATTATATTAGAACAAAGAATAATGGAAGAAAGCCAGGAAAGCTAAAGGAAGAAAAAACAAAGACAAAGGCAAAAATTAATGACCAATGAAGCAATGCCACGCCAGGAGCACTTGTTCAATAAAACCCAAAGTATCCTCTGTTTACAGTTAGTACAAGTGAAATCAAAGACCGAGCATCAGTAACCTCAGGGAAGGAAAAGGTCCCCTCCCTGTCTAGTCCTGCAGCCCTAGGGCAGAGGTCTTGGAGGTCACACACAGAGGGGTTTTCTCAGTCAATGCCATCTGAGTAGCCTTCTGAGCAATGACCAGCAAGCTATTTCTGGAGCGAGGGAAGTGGCTTGCTCCAGACTTCACTAGAGTTGTATGTGTAGGTCTGTATATGTCCATAAATGTTCTTCACTTTTAATAAAAAAAAAAATTATTTATTTTTTGTGATGCTGGGAATTGAACCCATATCCTCACACGTTAGGCAGGTGCTCTACAGCCCCAGACCATGATAAAACATATTTAAAGGAGAAGGCAAACAAACGTGTTTATGTGCAAAATTTCAATATACTAGAAATCACAAGAGAATCCCTTGAGTGCTGGTGAGCGGCTCCATGGCATGCTTGGTCCTCGGCATCCACAGGCTCCACAGCCGCACGTTCAACTGACACAGACTGAAAATATTCAGCAGGAAAAAACCTGCCTCTGTACCAAAAATCATTATTCCCTAAACAATACAGAATAACTACTTAGATAGCATTTATATTGAATTATGTATTATAAATAATCTAGAGTTGATTTCATGAACGTGGGAAAATGTACACAGGTCACATACAAAGGTACAAACACTACCATCCTACAGGGTACAAAGGACTTAAGCGTCCTCGGATTTTGGTATGTTGTTGGGGGATGGTTCTGGAACCAATCCCCCTCAGATACTGAGGAATGACTGTCTAAACGTCGTAAGTTAGAATCTGTAAATCTCTAGAATCTGTAAATCTCAATTTATTAATTGTCTTTCCATCCAGATCAGACATGGGGTTCTATGTTAGGATTTTTTTTTCTTAAAAAAAAAAAAATGCTCATCACACATACACACTTCTAAAATTACGGATCAACCTTTTAGTTTTGCTCATCTTATTCTTGTGTTTCTTTCCAATTCAAAACCTGTGCAAATTTCAAGGCTACCCAGATCATTTCGCAGGCCCAAAGGAAGCAACAGCAATTCAAACCAGTCTGAGGGATGCTTGACTTTCAAGGTCAGGTCAAGGAGCTATTGGCGACTTCAAGGACATTGGACATTCCACCAGTGGAGGCCTGAGGAGCACTAACCTTGCCAGCAGCAAACAAGTGGCAGCCCTTCACAGCTTCGAAGATGTTGGGCGAGATGTCTGGCTGGGCGGGAAGGTGCGACTGCGCCAGGGACTGCTTCACTTTCTTCACGTCCACCAGACACAGGGCCCGCTCTTCTCCTGAGGGGAAAGGAGCAGCCTCCGTCAGCGTGAAGGGAGTAGTGAAGACAGGGAGGGAGGCCCGGTCTAGTTCCAAATAGAAGCTACTGAGATTTCCATACACCCCTCTACACTGAGCACCCCTTATCTGAATTGCTTGAGATCACAAGTGCCTCAGATTTCAGATTTTGGAATATTTATATAAACATAATGAGATCACTTGGGGGTGGGACTCAAGTCTAGATACAAAATTATTTTGTTTCATATATGCTTTATATACATGGCTGCAAGATGATTTTATGACATACTTTAAGAGCTTCTGCAATTTGACAATGACTTGTCTATCATGTGAGGGCAGTTGGAATTGTTGACCTGTAGCACCTCATTAGCACTCAAAATGGCTCGGGTTTTCAAATTAGGGATGCTCACTATTTTAGATCTCAGATGGAAACATTTGGCCTTTTAGTCCAGATTCTAAGGGGGGAAATTCTGCAGACATAAGATTG